CATCCCCATGAGCCTTGCTACCACCGGCTGCCAAAGTAATGCAGGAAGAAAACGCCAAGCACCATAGATCATGAACAAGTGTCACATTGTGTGGCAGAACTCCTCAATCAGTGGGCACATTACATGGGATAAGTAATTGCTCCAATGCTGGAATGCAGAATCATCTGACAGCACCATTAAGGAAGCCCTTGGGAGATCTCTATCATAAGAGCAAGCCTGTCTCACTGCGCTGTAATTAATGGATCTCTGGTTCCAGAGCAGCACTTTAACATGTGGCAGCACACAGCGAGCAGCCTGCACCTGGCTCCAGTGCCAACCTATATGCAGTTTCTTGCCTAAGCAGTGCATTACTCAGGTACGTGGCCACTTTTCAACAATTTCAGTGCAAGGGGCAAAGGCAGAGAGGAGGGGGACTGTGACTTACCCCAGCTGGGCACTTCATGCCCCCAGTTGATGTAGGGTTATTACTGACAGGCTGCATCCAGGTACATCAAGGTTCACTATAAAGCAAGGAGAAGATGTTAAAATAATATCAGACCAGCAGCAGAGAAAGCCAAAGGCAAAACATGGCTCCAGTTCTGTGTTACGCAGGAGCAGAAGTCTAGATCCTGGGCAAGGGTAACCCCATGGAAAGAAGTTCTGTCCTCAAATCAAATCAAACATGTAATGGAGACACTTCTGCACGGCTCTCCTACTGCTTTAGAGGAGCCTGTTTAACTGAGCAAAGTCTCCAGCCAGGACTTGGAAGACCCCAACAGAGAAACCTTCCCTGGATGTCAGAAAGACCAGCAAATGTAGAGAAGGAACTGCAAAGGATGCCAGAAGAAAGAGACATCGCAGAGCTACGCTGCATCAAGCCAAATGGGATTAAGGCACTGGGCTCCACTCTGGACTTTGGGTGTAAGTGTAATACAAGGTTTAATGTGCACAGAATCAGAGACTCAATGCAAAACCACTGCATATCCACACTGGACAAAACACAGACTGCTAGCCCAAGGTAGCAACACCAGGGTGCTGAACACCTGCCCACCCTCATGGCTCTATGAACCTTCACACTTCAGCTGTGTGAGGCCTGCAGCACACTGAAGGTGAAGGACACAGCAAAGCCTCCCAGGGCTGTGCACTGCACTCAGAGCCTCGCAGGGTATCACAGCATTTAGATTTGCCCTGGATTTAGAACAGACACAGCCCTTTCCCAGCAAAACTCCTACTGCAGAGAGACGTGGAGGCAGCTGAGAAGAGGCTTCCTGCAGGACACAACACAGAGTGCTGCTTCCCAGGGACAGCTTTCAGCCTGAGCCTGCCTCCTGCAGCACTCCTGTCAATGCTCTGCTTCACAGACTGACACCCACCCAGGTCACAACCTTCCACGTGGGTTTGGGGCCATACCTGCACAAGTGGAAGCAAAGAATCTTCCCCTATCACCAGTTTCCAGGGACAAACTCTTGCATGTGTCCCAGGGGCATCAAGCTTGTCTTGGGCGCACAAAAGAGGTGCCAGTGTTGGGAACCAACCACCCTTCTGATCATCCCCAGGCAGACCTCAAGACCTTACACCTCAACTATCAGAAGGAAGTCCAGGAGCAGCTCCATAGCTGGAGCTAACTGTCCTCCTCAGGCCATCTCAAAACAGCCTTGCCCTCTTCCCTGCACAGAGCTCACCACTGCTCTCCCATGCTGCTCTGAGTCCATGACAGGCAATTTCAGGTGCTCAGCTGATGCCTTCTGACCATGCTCCTGCTGTCACGATGTGCATGGCTCACTGCACCATCTTCTTGGGCCTGCACACCCGGTTATTAAAAACTTCATTAGCCTTCCACTCATTAGCTAAGTTAGCTGGTCATCCTTGTTGGCTTTCCTGGGTGACGTCTTTGGCATCCCTCACAAAACCAAGCTGTGGGGTGTAGAGTTTTCTAATTAAAACTGATAATAGGAAGGATAAGAGCAGGCTCAGCAGCACCAGCAAGCGATGGTTAGCGGAGAACACAATCACTGTGGTCTGCTCTGGGCCCGGGGAAAGCTCCCCATGATGGGCAGAGATGGGAGGCCATGACATGGAAAAGCAGTTGGGGCTTCTCAGGACAGCCCACACTGGGCCAGCAGCTGCTCCCCTCCTCTTGCCCATTTCTGCCAGCCCTGATAGGGAAGGACATGCTATAATTTTGATAATGGGCACCACAGGGTGATGTAATGCAGTGAAGACTGGCACAGCACACTCAGTGAGGCAGGAGGAGTCCTTGCTACACCAGGGACACCACGTCTGCGCTAAAGACCCAAGCAAGAACCACAGGGTGCTCAACACCTTGGTACAAGCTTGGTACAAGCCTGCAGGCTGGGGGCACATCACAGACCAAAGGCAAAGGCTGGTCCAAGTGCCTGACTTTGCAAAGCTCAGATCCATCACCCCGGATCTCTCCACCTCCTCACTGAGCAGGTACAAACCAACCATCACAGGGCTGCACACGCAGAGCCCTTCAGCTCAGCACTTCAAGAAGCATCTCCATGTGCAGGCTGCAAGGTTTGCTGCAGGGGACATGAGCATTGCACAACTCCACTTCTTGCTCCTCCAGGCACCTCCGTGCCTCTTCTCCGCTACAGTTTGAGCAGCCCCTTCCCCTCCATGGGAGCATTTGCTGTTGGAGTAGGAGTGGCAGGGCAGGGGGCACAAAGGCCTGGCCAGAAGCAGGGTGGCAGTGGGGTGCTGATCCAGCCCTCCCCAGGCCAGCCCAGGGCTACGGCCGGGCAGAGCCCTGCGGCACCCACATCCTCACATTATGATTTCAGACAGTGGGTCATGAGCACTGACTCCTCGGTGGCCGCTGAAGGGCTCTGCCCCCCGCAGCCACAGGGCATGGACCTGAGTCACTGCCCGGGCAGGCGCTTTTCTGCCGCATCAGCTCCTTCATCCAACTCCTCCCACAACCGCAGCACGGCTCCATCTCACACCAGAGGAGTGGCAGCACCACGCAGCCGGGGAGGATGGATGAGCAGGACCTGCTGCTTCTCCTGCTCCAGACCTCCGCTGGCACACAGGCACTGGCACCCTCCCTTGAGAGTCCCTGCGAGCACTGCAGAGCAGACTCCCAGCTTGCCACAAGTGACTTTGATGCACTGAAGGAGCTGGTGATCAAACCAGGATTACGGGTGCTGAGCAGTTCAGCTGAACATTCCAGGTTCCTCTCCAAAGACTCATTTACACTTCTCTCTATACACCAAAGAAGCCACTTGCTACACCCTTAGACTCAAACATAGGAGCTCAGGCTTCATCAGAGGATGAGAGACCTCAAGGTAGCAGACCAAAAAATAGTGGGTTTAATGGTGACCCTCATCATGACTGCTCTCACTTCACTTAAGCAGAAACTGTTCTCCACTCTAATTTCCCAGCTACGGTCAGTTGTTCTGGTTCTGGTAAGGTTCACAACACCTTCCCCCCCCCCACAAAATGCCCCAAAATGTAGGTAATGTGGTTAATGTCTGAAATTCTGAGGTCAGTTCCAACAGCCTCTGACTGTGGTACTGACCATGACTGTGCCCCCTCAGAGTCTTCCTTATAGCTAACAAAGGTGCTGTCGACACAGTCAGGCGGGTCCATGGCAAAGCTCACCTTGCCCTGAAGCAGACCCAGACAGGCATACATACAAAGATACATACAAAGATTCATTAGAAGACACTCAGATTCAGGGGCATTTCCAACTGGGATTTCACGATGGGACCCAGACTGGCGCGCTCACTGTAGCTGGAATGAGAGTCTTCAGCCACCATGCGATATACTGATGGAGTGAGAAGAGGCCTGAGGGCCACCCTCACCAGCAAGTTTGGATTTGTGGAAAATCATGACCTAAAATTACAAGTAGAGCGAGAGAAACTCCTGGATTTAGTTCCGTGCTGCACAAAGCCAGGCTGCAGTCTGCCCTCACGTGGCCATGTGGAGGATACACCTTCTCTAGTGGAAAACGCTCAGTACAGGAAATAGGTGAGAAAAAATTACATGTTCCAATAGTACTGACTGGTAGCAAATGATTTCCTAACAAATCAATGACTTTCCTGGGCAATGTGAGATAGCTGAGACACTGAGCACTCGCTGTACCCACTCAGTGTGGACTGTTAGTAGCATTTACACAGGTTAGCAGTGTATACTCCGTTCTTGGAACCAGCCCCTTTGTAAGGAAAACAATGCAAGCAAGATGCTTTAAACATTACCTATTTCCAACAAGAAGCTGCTCAAAATGGGTTTTTCCATCAGATGCAGGTGGCTACACCACCAGGTCAGTTGGAAAGCTTTCTGGCTTCACAAGCTCCTACCAGAGCTTCTTGTAGCAGGTTTCAAAGAGACCCAGTGGCAGCATCCCAATGTTAAAAACACAAAACTGGACTCTCCAGCCTGGTTCCAAATACATTTAGCAAGACAGTAAGCAGCTATGTACAGAATGGAGTCTTGATTACAAAGCAGGATCTGTCAAGCTAGATGAAGGTTTTGCTGTGGAAGCACAGGAGAAGTCAGAATAAACTCAAGCAAAAGGCTCCAGCAGAAGTGCCATCAACGTGAAGCTCCTGCAATATCACTGCTGTGATTCCAGCGTTACAACTGGCAGTGCTAAAGCTCAGCAGGGAACAGAAGATGGGAAAGCAACAGATCCAGAGAGGCAACAAAGAGAATCAGACCCAGAAAAGAGCTTAGGGAAGATGCATCAGGAACTGGCAAGAGGAGAAAGGCTGGACTTGTGTGCGTCTGTCTGCTCAAGACGCTGCAGACATGGGTCAGGCACTGCTGGGGGCATTGCCTGGCTCCAGCACAGTGTGCACAAAGGGGTTGTGCAGATCCCTTCACTCTCAGAAGACGGAAGAGAATCTTTGTTTGCAATAATGGCAACAAAGGAGGCTTCAGTGAAAATAAATTCCTCACCAAAGAATTTGCAGATGAATGAGACTGTTACTTCCTGAAATGACCTTACATTTGGAAATACCCAAATGCTGAAGAGAAAAAAGATGTGCAGCTCCATCTGGCTTGAAGAATGCTTTTATTGTTGGTTTTTTTTATAACATCAGTGCACAGATGTTAAAATATAACCCAAGTCCAGAAGCATGTGACTTCAGATTAGATAGATATGTATGATTTTTATGCTGTGTCTGCTGTAAAGCACTGACTACTGTATGCGCACATTACACTTTGCAGGGACAGAACACTCTTGCTCAGAGACAAGCCCATGGAATGTATCCTTCTTATGGAGCTGTTTAGGAACAGCTTCTTCACCAACAAACAGTGGCAAGGCAAATTAGCATCAAACAAGGCAAATAGTCTTTAAAAGCTGGTGACCTCGGCCTTGAAACCACAGTCAACAGTGATTACATAGGACCTCGTGAAAGGGGAAGGAGGAGAGAAAATGAGCTGTAGATCATGTTTCAGAGAGATTCACTTGGCTGCCTCAGAATGAGAAGAAAGTGGAGCTTCTGCGGCTCACCCTAATGGAAGTCTAAATATAGACAGTGGATAAAGTTCCAGCTGACCCCATTCACCTTTATAAAAGGGGAGAGTAAAGAGGAAAGAGGAGGAGAAAGAGGGGGAAAAACCCAAACACAAGCCCCCCAAAAAAACAGCAACAACAACAAACCCCCTGAAACCAGCTCCAGACAACCATTACACCCAGATATCAGAGGTACAGTCTCCACCAGGGTAACGAACCTCATGAGCCAGGGCAGGCCCATCAGGTTCCTTCCCAAAATCCACTAGGAAGTTTTTATTCACTTGCAATCCACCTTTTTCATTATCCACATCAATCTGCAGCATAATAGAGCCTTCCCTGAAAAAGGGACAAGAAAACAGGTATTGGGAAAAGGTTTCCTTTTTGTTGCTCTTCCACATTTGGGCAAGATCTGTCTTTGTTTAATACAAACCAGAAAGAAACCCTGATACAAAATGGGACTTTTGAGATCACTTAGCCGATCTCAAAAGTGAGTTACACCACCTCAGTGAAACTGCAGCCTCAGATTAGCAATGAATGATTGCAAATAAATAGCTGTTGTTACTTATAAAGGAATAGGGAAGTGCACTATGCCCTCCTGTGGCCATCTGGCACATCATCTTCTTTCCTTAGCTCAGAAGAACAGAAAGCTGTGCTGGTAACACTCAAAGGCAGCTCAGAAGTACTACAGATTCCAGAGGGCTAGGTCAGGTTCACTGGTTTCTTCCCATTCTCATCTACTTCCAAACAGGTCCTGATTTCAACAAACTGTGTGTGCACACCCCAACTTTTGTGTGCCTGTTGAGAAGGGGCGGATTCTGGTGAGTGGGTAACACATCTAGGTTGGTAGGCTGTGGATAAAGTGACTAGGTTTAGTCTCCCTGGGTGGGAACTCTGCTCTGTGCAGCAGCTGGCATGTGCATAGCACTATATGAGGAAGAAATCTTGCACATGGGCTTGTGCAGTCATCCCTGTTTACCAGAGTTCTCTTACTTGACAAGATCTGGGTAGAACTGCTTGTCCCATCCACTGTAGAGAGAGTTGGTGACATATAATCTCTTCCCATCCAAACTCAGCTGAAGCATTTGAGGTCCACCTCGCACCCTCTTCCCCTAAAATCATAATAGAGAACCAGGTGCCTAAGACAAGGCTGCCACAGACATTGAACAAAAGAAATGCAACAGCAAGGAGAAACAAAAGAGCACAGCAGTTCTGCTTCTGGTAGAACCATCCAGAGCTCCAAAATCCTCCACACAGCAGCACCAATCTCCCTATTTTAGAGAGAGAACAGTTTTTATTAGGAGTCTTCCTCCTTACTAACAGGGAGCCTTGAAGCCATTTCAGAAGAATTCCACTTCATTCACAAGACTAGCAATGTAAGAAAGTAAGGGCTGAAGGGTTCAGGTCACTGTACTTGGGTGGAAGTGTCAAAACTTAAGCAAAGGGGTGAGTGGCATAACACAGCTGCTCCAAATGAGAACATGTCTCTGCTGCAGCTAGGGCACAATCTGCACGAGGAAGAAAAGGAGTATGTGGATCTTCCTAAAACTGCCTTCAGTGGCCAACAGATCTTAGTCATGTCCATGTTCAGTTCTTGCATATCCTGAGACTTTCCACAGGTAGCTGCCTTGATAGTAATAATATTAATGCACACTGATAATGACCAGAGGCAATTAATGTTCTTTCATTTTCTATCACGACGCCAGGTGCCATCAAACTCTTTACACACACACAGACACGCACTCCCCAACCCTGCAGAATGAGCTGGGTTAGTGCTTCACACATACTGGGAGACTCCCAGCAGCAGTGATGGCAATGTGATGAATGCACACTACATTAGCTTTAAATTAGCTAGCTAACAACAGCAGGGAAGATGCAATTACACAGGCTTCAGACGAGTCAAACAGCTTGTCCAATTCCACCAGGGACCCAGAACACTTACCAGAATTCACTAGCTCCAGCCCCTGCTGAGATGTGGTACCTGCCCAGGCTGAAAGCCAAGCCACAAACTAGCTCAGATACAGCTCTGTATGTCCTATGTTTGTAGGGATATGTTAAAATGGATCACAATTAGCAGAGCACTGAAAACATGCATATGAGGAAAACTTACTTTGAGCACAAATGGCTCTGGCTGACACTGCAATTCCTTGTCTTCCACTACAGTTACAGGCCCACCTTTTGTGATGCTGCCTCCCAGAAACACCTGTAACCAAGGGAATGGATGAGAATAGGCACCTGCTATCATAAGAACACGAAAGACAATTCTCAGGCAAAAGCAAATTGTCACTTTCTTCTTTTGAAAAAGACAGAAACAAGCAGACTGGACTGTCCTTGTACGTGGCAGCTTTGCTGCTGCTGCCTCACCTGCCCCACCAGCTTGGGCTTGCGGGTGTTGGAGATGTCGTACTGGCGGACATCCCCGTGCAGCCAGTTGCTGAAATACAGGAACCTGTCGTCCAGTGAGATGAGGATGTCAGTAATAAGACCTTCAAGAAAACAGTCAGCAGCAAAGTCAGGAAATGGACAGGCCCAGCAACAAACAAGACCACGAGTCTATTATCTTTCCAAATTCTAGTCACAGCAGCCTCAGAAAAATCAGTAAAGATATGGTTTGAACAAACACAATCATCCTTGGACACTTGGTGCCTACTCAGAGGAGCTTCAGGCTCTACAGCATTCCCAGGACCACTCCTGTGAGCTCATGCTGAAAGAGCCAAACTCCAAGTGTTTTTCTGACCTCAAGCACTGAGTGGTGTGGGAGCAGATGGGTCTGATGATCTACTTGATGGCTTGTAAGCAAGGCTAATTTGGTGACACCAGAAGTGTTACACAAAGAACCCAAAGAGAAATTCAGTATTTTGCAAGGAAGTGTTTGCTATTTAAGGATGAGATTTTGCAGAAAGCTCCACTGAACCAGGGAACTGAAGAGGGCAACACCAAATCTCTACTGCAAACACACTCACCAGGCATGTCAGGGAGAAGCCATCCCTGCACCTTCTTGCTGGGGACTTCAATCACCTTCTCTGCTGCCCAGCCTCCTTTCTGCAGAAAGCTCAGGAGAGACCACAGCATTATTAGTGCCTTGATGTTAGCCAAGAGAGCTCAGCTATGCAGGACAGAGGGAGGAGAAGCAAACAGTGCTGTTTATTTAACAGGTCCTCTACACAGGTGGTATGCACACCGCAAGTGTTACCAAGGGGTGAGGATGGTAACTATTACTGCCAGTTATCCTTATACTATGCAACAACATCTCAGATTGCTGTAACAGTAGCAGAACTAAAACCCCTAATCACCTGTAGCTTGGTGTCCCACCCCTCTCCAGCTCACCCCCTACTCCCCTGCCCATGAGCCCATCACCTTCCCTCCTTTCTCCACCTTCCAAATACTGGCTGAGCAGCAGGCAGCACACACTGGCACTGGTGACAAGTTTCACAGGTTCTGACCAGTTCTCCAACTGATGCACATTTGTGGAGCAGCTCGCAGGCCAGAAAGCAAGCCGTTGAGCTAATGCTGTAGCCCTTTCCTCAGTGCAGGTGCTCATCAGACTGTTTTCAAGTGATCACTAATGGTCTTATCATCAGCCAGACTTCCCCTCCTTGAGACTTTCATAGGTCATTCATGGCGATTAAATTGATCAAGAAGTTATTGTGAAGGGTGGGGGTGTTGGAGGTGGGGCTGACAGACCAGCACCATGACCTCTTCAGCTTTGCTGCCTTTCAGGATCAGGCTGCTGAAGATTTGCATTCTGGACATAGCAGAGGAACTCAGAATACAACTGCTAAAGGTGAGGGACTATCCAGCAGCTTCAGAAAGCTACAGCATTGGCTTCTAGGCACACTATCATGAGGTTTGCTCTCTGACACAATCATAGAATCATGCAATAGTTTGATTTGGAAGGGACCTTAAAGCTCCTCTAGTTCCAACCCCCTGCCATGGGCAGGGACACCTTCCACTACAGCAGGTTGCAGCAAGCCCCATCCAACGTGGCCTTGAACACTGCCAGGGACAGGGCAGCCAGAGCTCCTCTGGGCACCCTGTGCCAGTGTGTCACTGCTATAGCTTGGCTAGAATTAGACTGGAATTGAGAGCCATAATATTTTTAATCCAAATTCTACTATTTCCTAAGTGACTGGAAGCTTTCTGAAACAACAGCCTCTGTGTTTGCCATGGCTTTCATTGCTTACCTCTGTCTTGTAGAACCGATGAACTGCAGCACTCAGAGCACATCCCACAAACCCTTCTGCAGCATCCGGATTGTGGAGGAATCGGATCTCCAAAGGTATGGAGCCCTTCCCTAAGTCAATTGTCTGAATGTAGGTGTGAGTGCTCCAGTCCCACACGTTAATGTGGCCACCATAATGCCCTACCGGATCAGGCCAGACCAGAAAAAGCACAGAATATATTATTTTATCAAAGAATCATTTTTGAGAGTTTAAACAAATGCCCCCTCACCTTTCTCTATATCAGCTGGGTTAAACCCATCTACCAAGGCTTTTGGGGCTCCCCATTCAGTGCTCATCAGGACATTGTGTCGTGGCTGGTACCAGAAGTCGTAACCCAGGAGAGGCACCTTCTTCCCATTCTCCCAATTTCCTTTCACTTCAAAGGTCTCTCCATCCAGCAATATAAAGCTACCTGATAGAAACACCAAATACATTTGTCTGAAGACATTCACAGAAGTTCACAGCTTTAAAAATGCCTTTTTTAAGCTTCAGTTTGCCCTTTTTCTGCTCATAATAACAATAATAAATCTGCCAGCCCTTCCAGAGTTCATTTCAATTAAGGGATAACTTAGAGAAGATCCTGGAGGAGTCACCACTGGTTTTCTTTGCTTGCCATCAGTACCCTTGAATTACACAAACAATATGCATCTATTCAAGGACACGTTTGCCCACAATCTAGAAGAGAAAAACCCTGTGAAAAGGAGCAGGGTTCCACCACTTAACCCCCTGAGGTATATTTTTTCTAATAGCTAATATTTCTCTCAGATGTCAGGTGGTTTACACCTGCATAGGTACCAGAATTTATATGCAAGAATCCTTCAAAAGTTTTAAACAAGAAATGCAACCTATAATGGCCTGAAAGGTTAATTTTCATTAGACAGAGACAAAGAGGATTTAGGTTGGCAACAGCATCTCTCATACCCAAGCCACCAATACTGAGCTGATGCAGACTGTCTTCCAAAGCAATTCTTCCCTGCTCCATGCTGAAGTGACCAAAGTGAAATGTTAATGGGTTTCCTGCTCATACTATAACCACTAGAGTTGGTCTTCTTTACTAATATATGCAAAAGCCTGGGGCCTGGAAGCTGAACTCATCAACAGTCCCATTGATATTCCTCTACATCAGGTCTGAAGTGCAGAGCAGTGACCATTCAGCTTACCTGGGGGGTGATATTTTTATTCCAGCATTAACCATTCCAGGAGCTGTTTGCTGATGTGCATAAGAGAACTGGAAGCACTGACAAATTCTAACCTTGCAGCTTGTGCTTTGGGAGCATGATACTTCTATACCATGAGCACTTTCCTAGAGTAGTTAAAGAGGACTAATACCTTTTCCATTGCCAGAAGGGTCTCCCAAACAGCTGATTAAGATGTCACCACTGCCCAGACAGTGAGAGGTGTGAGGATTACCCGCATTACCCTTCTGGTGTAACTCCACTGCCTCAACAACCTAAAATGAGTATACACATAGTCACAGTCACCTCCATGGAGCTCACTTAGACAACACCAGCTCACCCCTAGGAGTTCAAGTTTCACAAAGGAAGGGAAGGGGGAAATCTTTGAGGCATGTCAGAGGCTCGGTTTGAAACAAAATTCACTGAACAGGGAAAGACCTTAGGGGGAGTTATCCACTGCATTAACAGTCACAGGCTGGCAAGGTTCTACAGAACTTGAAAGACTATGAATGGGAGTATTTGCTGGCAGGTGGGGTGGGACAAAGACCACTGAGAAGTTTCCTTTCATTCCACATTATGATCTGTACTGAAGTTTCCCTGACCAAGTACAGATGCTGACAGTGTATGTATTTACATCTCAGCTAATCCTCTCTGCCTTACAGTCAGTGAAAACAAACGCTCCTGAGACACAATTCCTTTACCCTAAACCAGTTTCTAAACCAGGTTAGACAAATGTGACTCCAGCAGTGCCTATTTTTTTTCACTGACTGTAAAGAGAATCTAACCAGTTAGACATGAAAAAGTGTAAGTCTATATCCTAACCTCTATCTATGCCAATATCTGGATCTATAAAATCATTGTCTCTTGGTCAAAACGTATGAAACAAAACCCCAGCTTAAAGTCATGTAAATATACCTTATGGATTCTAGGAGCTCGCATGTCTGTTCCCACATCCACCACGTAAATTCGAGAAGAGATCAAACTTGGTAGAATCAGGCGGTTCCTTCTCTTGGTGGCATCCCCAAAGCAGCTGCTACAGGCGTTCCACCCTGAATGATGGAGCTCATCATTCAGATTGGGCATGGGCAGGCGATGGATCACCTGCAAAGTCAGAGACAGGCTTCACATTCAGTTTCATAGAGTTTTCCCCTAGGCAAAAAAAAATGAGCCTTTATGTCAAGGCATAAATTAATAAAGAGCAGAAGGAAACTGCTATTTGTTAGTCAGGAAACAGATTTTAGCCTGAGATATGCAGAGCTGAAGCTGTAAAGTAGGAGAAGAAAGCTGGACATCATGATTGCACAGCATTTGTGAAATGCTGCGTGCCATTAAGTGAATTCAAATCTTTAAAAGACTTTAATTTAGGAGATATGCAATAACAATAGGGCAAAACATACAACAGAAACACCAGAGCCATTCTACACACAGGTACCTGACAGTAGTGTGGAGATTTGGGATCAACATCCACAGTGGCCAGGTAGTCAGGCTTCTCTATCCCAGTGTTCCTGTAGATACAAGGCAGGTACACAATCTCCTCCCGGGGACCTGTCAAGGCAGAAGTCTTGTAAAAATGGTTTCTTTTGACACATTAAAGAAAAAGCTGTGGTTAAGTGTAAGAGCATCTCCTCTGGATTTAAACTCTGTCTGTAAACTGTGTTTCTTCCCAGGAAGCTGAACCTCAGCATTCCCATCTTATGTGGAAACACCACTAGTATGTAGTTTGAGCAGCCAGGAGTTGCCAAGAGCAAGTACTTATTCACTTTTGAGGCCTTTCCTTCCCTCACCCTCCTCACATAATAGGCTTTGGGGATGCAATGACTTTCCTGGAGAAGGACAGTGCTGGAAACCAGCTCCTACCCTGTGGGGCCATGTGGAGCCTCTCCCTTCCCCAGCTACAGAAGTGATGACTCCCAGCTGCCAGTGCCCAGAGCTCACTCTACCCATGCCAAAAGCCTACTTACTACAACCTATAAAACTGAGGCTTTTAAATTCCATCAAAGGACGTGAGGTGAAGTTCTGACATTATTACAATCTATAGCAAAATGCCTTGAGGGCTTTAGTGAGGGTCAGGATTTAGCCAGGCACTGCTGGACAGAACAGAACACATCCTTAGTGCAGCTACAGGTGGATGAGAAGCTTGACACTAAACTGTGTCACACAGAATTCCCAACACTCCTTCCTCCTATTTTCCCCTTCTGTCCTAAAGAGTAGTTTGTTGTTATGAGAGAGTCTGAAGGCAGTCTGGGTTTAGAAAAGATGTGCTTACCTTTCATGGCATCCAGAGGAGTTGCGTATCCTGGGCCACATTCTCCACATTTTGCTGATTGGAGGGAAAAAAAGAAGTTCTTCTAATTACCAAATTATTTTCAAGCATCTCTCTAAGAGGACTTTGGCTTTGCATTGAGAGATGGACAAATGTTAGATCCAGTTTTTACACTGCCAAACACCTGACTCCAGTCAGGGCTGAGGTTACACACAATGTGACATGCCATGCTCAAGAATGATGGGAAAGTTAGGCCTTCATTTCCAGGAGTTCAGCCTCACAATTTGAAAGCACATTCATATATGACAAGGGTCTGGGATTTAAGAAAACTGTGTTAAATGTTTTACAGAGAGCTGCTGAATCACTGCCAGATGAGTAAGGAGACAGATGTGAACGGCCCATTTTATCACTGGAAAGGCTCCAGTCCTTCTCTGCACAGAAATGCCAAAGAAGTGGACAGTTTTGAGGATTTACAGCCTGGGTAAGAAGTGACACTGCAGGTGACCAGAAAGGACAGGGGAAGGGGAATCATCAACCATTCCACCTTCTAGTACAAACTCAGCTCCCCACCTTTACTCTCATGCCACTCTTACCTCTGCTCTGTACCAGTCTGGATCCTAATCAACACAGAAGTTGTGCTAAACCAGCCTTCAGTACAGCAGAGATTCCTACTCCAGCACAGTCACAGCACACACATGCTCAGGATTGCATCAATAAATTGTTGGCTAGAATTAAGAAACTACTACCCTGAAATACTGCTTTAAGGGGCAGTTACAACACGTTGCAAGTTTATAGGCTCAAGGGATGCACAGAAACCTCTACTTTTCTTGAGTCATGGAGCTGCAGGGCTACTGGACACAGTGCAGGAAGCTTCTGCTCCATTCCTAACTGGGACCAGGATATAGTCAGTGTTCCAAGCACAACATGCAGCAGTGCTGTGCACCAGGACAACAGTGTACTTTTCAATGTGACACAAAGTGAAATGCATGTTGACAGAGACAAAACCATAGTACAGATGCCTCCCTCTGTACCTCCAGTGTCTGTAATAAAAAGCAGCAAACTAGGTAACTATTTAGCATTCTCCAATACTCAAAGAGAGTTTGATGGCATCAGAATACCCCAGATCTCAGATTCCAAATACAGAGGCAGTGACAGCTCCAGTGCCCGTTTCGTTAGGGAGCCTGCCTGTGAAGGCGAAATGCTTCAAGCAATCCATTGACTGTACATGGAGCCTCATAACCTCACAGACAGGGTCTTCTCAGAAAGAGCAATTCAGTACTTTAGGTTACATTTCACCTGCTCTGTGGAGCAGTTTTATCTGGAAACACAAAATAGAAAGTTTGCTTTGTTCGGTTTATGTCTAAGCCATAACTGAAACTTTCTTTCCATTTTCTCAATCACCAGCACTGGCAGGAGCTCAGCTGGCATCAGACCGCAGCTCCACGAGCATTGCAAATGCAGTTTTGTGCAGATCCCTTTGAGAAAAAGATTATTTGTGCTGAATTGTTTTCCAGAGAAAACACACAGCAAGACACTGGACGTTTTATCTTCCTGCTTCTTGTAGACATTTGTTTCTCCTTTCCCTCTGATCTTGCTCAAACCCTCTTTTATTCTGAACCATTGTACCTAACTGCCTGAAGATACACGTGGATGAAGCAAACTCCATGCCAAGCTCATTTGTGAGCACAGAATCAGGGGTTTGACACGAACTGTGATTGTATCACCTTGTAGCAACATGTTAACAATAACATTTACATTGCTATGTTCATAATCCATGGTTAAACATTACAGTATTACTTGCTATGTTCTAGATCCACCCTTGACCTGGTGGCTGACCCAGCGTCCCGGACACCAGGCAGTGGGTGGTGCATCACACACACGTGGTTTGGGGACTCCCGCACCAAGACCCTTTTCCTGCAGCACACTGCACCTTCCCAGGCAAATCCTCTCACCCCCAAGTCCACCTTCCTCGTCTTTCTAAAGCAAAGAACATTTCTCTCTTGGCAACAGCTCTGGTGTGAGTTTACCAGGAAGGGCACATGCATTTAACTGTGACTGCTCTGGGGTACAATTTTCCTTTTTCCATAAAGGAAGTTCCAACAAGCCCCATTCCTCCAAACTCCTGCGCAGTTACTGTATATACAGCTGCTAAAAACATGCCTGCTCCTTTTGTTCCCATTGTGGGTGCCTGATAGAGCTCAGTTTCACAAAGGGGTGTAGGAGAAAGGTGGCAATAAAGTAGCCACCTCTTTTGAGAACTTAAGAGTTGGGTGACATCAATCTGGGCCAAACTAAGCTGTTTGGAGAGCAAACAGAAAGTTCTCCAAAATCACAGTGCCTGCCTGGGCTCAGCACTGACCCACTGACGGGGGGGGGGGGGCAAGTAAATGTGGTTTATGATTGTACTGAAAGAACACACAACTGGGAGGGGTCAGAGTATCCTATGGACACGGCAAGACACAGGCCTTACAGAGCGACAGGGAGAACAGCCACGCTTCCTCATTGCAATCCAAGTAACAAATCATGCAAGCAGACTTCAATGATCTGTTAAATATTTGAAGAGCAGCCCAAGATTTGGGCTTCTACAGTGCCAAGGGCACTCCAAACCGCATGACTGAGCCACCGTCTCCTGCTGCTGGAAGCTTTAAGGTGCGTTACTGACCTGACTCCTTATCCACTGCCCAGAGATTCCTTACACGCTGCAGCACGCAGCGCACGGGTAACAGAGTGAAACTTGCAGTGTGTTAGAAAGCAAAGCAAAGCAAAACTCCTTTACTGTGTAGAGGAAGTCCCGACAGAAGCACAGAAAGACAAACATGCACCCTAGGCAGCTAAACCAGACTGGACACTTCTGCTGAGTCAGACTCACTGTTTGTATCCCTGCAATAAGGGCTTTTTTTCACTAAGGTCGACAAACTTACCCTGGCTTGCGAACCCCCCCTTGCATGTTACACAATCATACATGCAAAAAAGCTTCCAGGTATTTCAGCCCTTCCCTCTCTTTCCTATTCATGTATTCAGCAATGAAAGTCCACAAAAAATGACACGGTCTATCACAAAAATACCAGCAAAACGTTAAATTCTGGCTCCTGGTTCCCTGGCACCTTTCCCAAGCGTCGTTCCTGCTCACAGTTAAACCAGAGCAGCAAGTCCAAATCTTGTTTCAGCCTCTAAATACAGAGGTACTAAAAGAGACATTTAATGAGAGCATAAAAGGCATTTACTGAGAGCACTAAAGCTACTTATTTAAAACCACAGGGGCTTTCAATAGCTTAAAGGGGTAAAGCTTTTACCAGGCAGAGGGAACGCGGAACCTCAGCCCCGGAGCTCTCCTGACCAGGTCCCTCTGGCCCCTGGTTACAAGCTGCACAGCGCAGAGCTGCAGTCACAGCACCAGATCCCAGCTGGATCCTTACCCATGTCGGAGGGGCCGCTCAGGGCTGTTGGGTGAAGCAGAGCTGCCTGGGCTGGAGTTGTGCGCAGTGAAGCTGCTGGGAGAGGGGCATATGTGCAAGAGGGAAGGGGCGGGCAGGACTGGGGAGAGCTACTGCCAAGGGGAGGATCCAGAGCAGCCGGAGCAGGCACGGAAACTCTTCTACTTCCCGGGAAAGCGTGGAGGAACCTGGCACAGCTCCACCGGAGCAGCCTTTCCCACTGCTCCTCTCACATTCCAGCACTTCACGTGGGTGTTTTGTACCCAAGGAGAGCAAAGGAGGAAACACTTTGCGGTGAAAACCTCTTGCTTTGGGCAGGGTTTCAAGTTCTGGAGTCAAGGCATGCCCGGCCTAAGCACTGCTCTCAGTTGGGTCGGGTCTGGTAGGCAGCGTGTTCTTAGCATTTCACAGCCCTTAAAGAAGGCAGCTACAAGAAGACAACTTGTCTGCTCAACACTTCACAAAACTACCTCTTAAAGAAGATCCTTTCATGGCTGGCAGCAGCCCCAAGTATTGGAAAATCTGGATTTCACTCTATTCCATCTGGAATTCTAAGCTATCCCCAGTGAGAATTAGTGTATTATTTCCCATTTATTTTTTAAAGGGCACTGCTTTTTCCCCAGGCAATATCACCTTGGTCATTCCCAAGAGCAGACACCACATTTTACAACCCTCTCCCACTTCTCTGCTTTTACATGAGCCACCATGTACAGCAGAAACACTAAATGGTGCTGAAACGCTCCAACTACTGAGGCTGGTCCCTCCATTATGCCAACAGGGTGTCAGGGAGCTCTGACAACCAACCTACAACTGACCATTCATTCACATTTATTTAGTGAACTGAGCCTCTTCTTCCTGATCCCAAAGTGGACAAACGCAGTCTGTTAACTCTTTACCTTCAGGCTGTTGGCTCAGTGTTTTGTCTGAACAAATTACTGCCCCAAAATGCTTTTCCTCTCCATTCTCTGTCCTGTTCTCCACAGCTGCATTTGGGGATTTGAACTGACTGATGGGCATTCAAGTTCCACCTCTCTCATCCCATCTAAGGACGAGCTGCTTCACACAAAAGCATTGTTTTAAACCAGGGATTTCTGTTCTTTTTGTCCCCAAGCCTTAGTGTTCATTGGAGTGTTCATTCTGGTTGAGTCCCATGCCTATCTCTCACTCTTTCTGTCTTTTCCTCCTCAGGTACAGCCTTGTGTGTCCAACAGTTCCTTCCCTTCTTAACTTTTCACTTCAAAACACTACTTTACTACACATAAGCTTGATGCAGTGGGGATTTTTAAGCTGCTATTAAAAAAATGTGAGTAATGTATTTCATAAATACACTACGTGAGACCCAGGAGACCCCATGAGATGCCAACTGAAGATCCACATCAAGGAATCAGAGCTGTGCTCTTGAAGAACCCCACTGACGTCAACGAGACTCCAAGGCTGCACAGGGTAACACAAACATCACTTCTACTACAAGAGCTATGCCCTGCATTCTAGGCAGAGAGAGTGGGAATTCCATCATCCTCAGCAATGGCCTACTTCTGCTTCCAGCAAAGGCACCAGGAGTTTCAGCTCTTGAGGTCAGCAGGAGGGCAGCCTGGGCAGTCCACACACCCATAAACCTTCTGTGCAAGACACTGCCTGAGAGGAGGGGAAGCACATCCCACCACCAGCATAGACACATGGAAGCTCCTCAGGCAATAATTTACTTCAGTTTAAACGACCTGAGTCAGCAGAGAACGTATCGGTGCTGAGGATGGAACCCACGTGGTGTTAAATCAGCAGTGCTCTTGGCTCACTTCTCATGCCGCTGGGGAGGCAGTGGGAGGCACTGCTCACCTCAGGATGTGTCTGTCAGTCTGTCACAAACACAGAGGAGCGAAGGGCCAAGATGGGTTTGTGCACCTCCACAGCCAGTTCCCTTTCAGCTCTCACGCCTGGGCTCCCCGTGCTGCAGCTCAGGCTCCTGGCAAGCATAGGCCTGATCTGGGTATCCTGCATTTAGAAACTACCCCATTAAAGTGGCATCAGGGAGCTCCACAAACACACTTTATCAAAGCACAATACTTTTATCAACACATCAGCAAGCCCTGAGCCATGGCACAGCTTTCTTTCCATGGCTCCCAACTCCACCTCATGCTTGAGCTCAGTCCTGGGTTCGTTCCAAGCAGTCTGACTAAGACAGTTTATCTACCCCGTTGTTCACATACCAAAGATTCCCAGCGCCTCACTCCTCTGCTCTGTGGATGTAACCCAACACGAGGCAGTGCCAGCCCACCTTCATCAGAGCACAGACAGACACACACCATCCATCCTCACATCTGGCCCGGGGGGAATTGCTTAACAATTTGTTAGAACCTGGGAATAACCTGGTGAGAGCCAGCCTGCAGTTACCAAGAGCACATCATGCCAGCTTGTTTCTATTGTAAGTCTTTGATCCAAAGGGGAGAAGGAGAATGTATATCTTAGTCATAGTGAGAACTTTGATGTTGTGCCTCACACCTTCCTCTTAACTAAACATATAGCTTAGCCAAAACAACTGCAAGTTTGGTGTAAAGATACATCCAAAACTACAAACACTACCCAACAGAGCTGATTCACTGGAAGGATTTGTAACTCTGTAGAAGTCTACGATGTGTCCACAGTAACAAGTAATTTCACTACTGGGTCACATGTGTAATGCAGAATAGGCATATTACATCTACAAACAGCAGCAAAGTGGAGTATCAAGTATTGTGGACTATGGAATTAGGAAAAAAGGGAGAAATTTGGAAGTGGAGGGTTGTTTTTTTTCTTCCCTGAAATAATGCCATTCCAATTAAAATTAGCCTGGAAGCTGGGAATGGCTAATGCATTTCAAACCAACCTTTCAGAATTCCTTTCTCAGTTTATTTAGCTGGATACTTGTTCCCAACTTCCACTGCTTCAGACACTGCAAAGCATCAGCGTGGATTTACACCCGCACAGAAGCAGGTCTCCATGCATTAACTGATGTCAGGTTGCCAAAGTGATCAGCTGTAACCCATGTGCCGATATCCTTCCTCCAGCCTCACTGGTATTTGCCAACCACATCATTGTTCTTTAAGGATATAGAAACCACTGCATCTACATGACAATCCCACTGGCAGCAGAGTCAATGTCAACACATGGAAGAATAAATGATGCATCTGAGAACTTCCACATTTTATCAAACTCCACAACAGAGGTTTCTGTTAAACCCCACCAGCTGGAAGGAGCAGTTTTCCTTTTGCAGGGGCAATATGCTAAACCTCCAAGTTCATGGAGAGCTCATGGCTTGAAGCTGAAACAAGTACAAAACCCCACACATTTACTATGGTTAAGAATGCGTCAGAAATGTTGTCAACTTGGAGAGCCCAATCTCTGCTTCGAGGTTGATAATAATGAAATGACAACAACCAGATGTTTAGAGAAACTGTAAAGGGAAACCTCAGCTGGGACTTGACAAGACAAACAAACCAATGATTCAAAAGACAGCTATTTTTATAGCCGCAACAGCTTCCTGCAGAGAAACAGCTTGATCCTGGGCCAGCTCCCAGAGTCCTGGAGGCCTCTAACTCCAATTTTATGGAGACCTCCCTTGAGCAGGTTACCTCTGCAGTGGCAGGTTATTTGCAGGTAATACTGTCATTCTTTCTTATCACCTGTAAGTGAAAACTGGCTATGGCTCAACAGCTTTTTAAGGAAAGGAACCCACTCTTCAGCTGTATCTCCACTGCTCTGTTAGGCTCTCTGAAAAATACTGGTTAGAGACCCCTATTAGCCAGGCCATAACGTGCTTTAGTATCCCCTCAAGCTTGGATGCCCTTCACAAAGACATGAGCAGGGTTTGACCTGCCTCAGATCAAAAAAGAGAGAACTCACCAATGGTGATGTGATTTAAACCAGCTGCACTCCCCTGTCATTAACTGCATCTGAACTAGGTATCTGTAGAGCACTGGAAAAAGAGAAAAGCACCTGGTGAAGTTTTATGGCTTCTTTTCAAGACAAAAAAACCAAACTTTGCTTTTTACCTTAAGTCTCAGAAACGCTGCATTTGCCCTGTTGCATTTGCAGGGAGGGAAGAAATCAAGTTTGGGATTAGCAGGTAGTAATTTTGTTAGGAATATAAAACTTCATGGGTAAACCCTTGCTGCTGTCCACATCTGAATTCTTCTTCCAAACCCGAGTTGTCCCAGACAATGCTGCTGCGGCTGCTCTTTGCCCCTTCCCTTAAGGAAAAAAATCACTTTCTATAGCTCCTGCTTCCAGATTATATTTTTTTTGGTGGTGGTGGCTTTGAAAAAGCAAGTGAAAATTCCTATCATTATGTTAAGTAATTAAATAATCCTCTATCTAAGGCAGAGGCTGCAGAGTGCAATCAGGAATACAAAGCCTAACGAGGGATAATAGTGTTTGTTATTCTTATCAGTGGCATAACCACAGAAGAGAATGCAGCCCTTCGTATTGCACATGTACATGATTTACAGGTGACAGAGTGTTAAGTGAAAGCACTTCCCTCCAGCATGAGGTGAAGCAGCCTGGAGCAACGTGTAAACCAGGAAGAGTGCCTGGTACCTCCTGAAGACCATCAGGAGAAAATTAATGGGCTTGTTTAATGAAGCACAGAATAATAAATTACATTCCAGCAACACGTGGAGATCACAGCAAGGGGCTCCATTTGGGAAGCACTGCTTGGGAAGCACACTGCTCACCAAATTCATGAGTGTCTTCAAAATAAAGCAACATCTCAACGTATGCTGAAGACATAAATGTTAACAGTGCTCTGAAATGCATCCCTATTTTTTGTTACCTATGTTTACTACTGATACAAAGCATGTTGTCTGTCCTAACCACACAAGCTGCAGCACTCAGGCTGCACTGTGCACAGTTACAGCTCTAAGTTCCAGCATTCCTGAATTACCCGCAATAATAAGCTCATCATTAAAGATATAATCACAGTAATAAGTTCATTATTAAAGATACTGCCCATTTGACTTTATGCTAGTGGAGAATGTTGATGATACGTTGGCTTAACAGTGCAGGAACTCCGATGGCACTGAGCCAGTGACATACTTAAGCAAATGCATAACGTGAAGCATTTATAGAGCTACACTGATTGTATTTGGAACACTTTAAATAAGATACTGGCTTCAGCACCCACTGAAGCAAAGCCCTCACACCTCACACTCGCCGCAGTCCCGACTTCCAGGAACCTCCACAGCTTTATGGGAATTTAATCCTCAGCCTCCTCCTTGAGGCCATCCCCGAGGGATGCAACTTGTGCCAGCTTCTGAGAGGAGTCTGACAGAAGGGACATAAACCACAGAGATAAAGAACAGCTCCATCGAGTGTCTCTGCCACCAGTAAATGTACCTTCAGATTGTTCGGAGCCCCTGAGACACACGGGAACGCTGCTGGCTATCAAACATAGACGGTGGGTTTCAGTCCCACAACCACACCAGCAGCGCGACCGGGCACAAAACATTAAAGACAACCAGGCAAAGGCGGCACACGCTCGGCTCCTGACAGCACCGTGTCAGGCACAGGAACAGCCCTACAGGCAAGCCATCGGCTCCTCATTACACCAGCAGCGCCACTACCTCTACCTACACTCACAGACGGCAGCCGAGACCGCGCAGCACCATCAGCCCACGGCCCTGGCGAGCCCAAGGCACAGGGAACGCTACCGGCGGGGGCGACTGCAAAAGGCACGGGGAAGCCGAGGAGAACGCCTCAGGCGGGGCTCGCAGGGGCTGGAGACCGGGGCTGGAGAGCAGCGCTAGGGCCAACCGCAGCCCCCCGCCTACCCACGGCGTGCAGGGCCCAGGCCTCCCCCGCGGCCCGGCTGCGGGACAGCCCTGACAGGGAAGGCACCGGGACCGATCCCCCCCCCCGGCCCGGCCCGGCCCGGCCCCGCCGTGGCCCCGGCCCCGGAGCAACCGCGCTCCGGCTCCCGACGAACTTCATCAGGGCCAAGGCCGCGGCCTCCCGCTGACGTCACCGCGCCGAGGGCCAATCCCCGCGCCGCCCCGCGGCCCAGAAGGAAATGACGTCACCGTATCCCTCCGCCGGCCAGGTCCCCTTTTTGTGTGTGTGTGTGTGTGTGTGGCTGCGGCGCGGCACGCGTGTATCCTCCCGCCGGGCGCGCTTTTTTCTTCTCCCCTCGCTGGGGCGCGGGGGGAGGCTGGGAGGGAGCCGGGCGCAGCCGCGCGGAGGGAAGCGGGAGCACGGAGCAGTCCCGTCACGCTCCTCCCGCCGCGGGGGCCGCGCTCGGGGCCCCCGGGCTGATGCCGCCCGCCCCCCCCCGGCGCCGGCCTCGTCTCCCGCAGAGCGGCGGAGAGCGGCGGGGGCGCGCGCGCGGGGCCCGCTGAGAGCGAGCGGCGGCGGCGGGAAGGTGAGGGGGCGCGAGCCGTTATTTGGGGGGGGGGGGCGGTTTGGTGACCGTTGGAACCGGTTCGAACCGCCCGGGTCTGGGGGAGAAGGGGGGGGGGGGGGGTGAAGGGGGGGGGGGGGGGGCTATGGCCGGGCCGGAGCGCGCCGTACACAAAGCGGCGGCGGGAGGCGGAGGGAGGGCTCGGGGGTGCCGAGGCGGGGGACGGGGAGGAGCCGCGGCGGGTCCCGCTGGGCGGCGGAGCGCACCCGGCCGCCGCTCTCGCTCGCCCGCCCGGCCCCTGAGGGGAGGCGGAGGGATCCGCGCACACCCCCTCCGCCGCGGGGCGGGGGGGGGGACGGTGAAGCGGTACCGGGAGCAGCTCCCTCCGCTCCCCCCTCCCCCGAACCCCCGGCGGCGAGCGGGGCCTTCCCCGGGGGGGAAGGAGGGGGGGGGGCGGCCGCATCCCCCCGCCGTGCCTCCCCCTCCCCTGTCCCTCGGCTGGTGCTGGGTGGGCGGCCATGTTGGGCACGGGGATTATTTTTCTCTCTCTTTCTTAGCCGCCACAATGCACCCAGGGTGGGTTTTGCTTCCCCCTCGCACGAGAAATGCCCTTCTCGCCCCTTACCGGAGGGACGTTTAAGGGCGGGGGGAGCCTCTGCCGAGGGTGGGAGCCCCCCCTTGGCGTCCTCCTTCTCCGCCTTCACAGAGTGGTTTCCCCTCTCCATTACCTTGTTGTGTGAGGCCGAGGCGAGCTGGGCTTGCCAGCCTGCCCTTCTCCTCAGCGGTGGGCTCTGCCTGCCCTGCTGCCCGCTGCCGCCTTCGGTGTCATCCGCTGGTGACAAGCGAGCACCTCGGAGCCGGGCTCCCTGCCTGCAGCCCCGGTAGGGGTAGGGGGGAAGTGTTCATTTGTTTCCTGGAGCTCGCAGGCCCTCTCCCTGTGCTTCCCTGCATGCCCCGTCCCCTTACACTGACAACGAACCCCCGGATCGCTCCCTTCTTTTGGCCAGCGCCTTTCCCCTGGTAAGCAGTGAGCCCCAGCACACCGTTGCTGGGTCAGGAGTTCAGCTGAGTGGGCTCCCCTGCAGAAGGATTGGGATCCCTGGAAGGCTTTGTGCAGAATGCCCCACACCTGCTTCTTTTGGCTGCAGATACTGAAAAAAACAGATGTTTGGTACCATCAAGATGTTTGCTCTCCCCTTACTGTAGTCCTGCTCTTTGGAGTATCCAAGGAACCCAGGCTGCTGCATCAGGGCATCCTCACTCTCTGGTGCTCCGCTTGACTGGGATGTGGCATAAAACATGTGTGGAGATGAAGGAGAGGCATGGATCCTGCTGCCCAGCACCCTCGTGGTGAACATGCAACACATGACAGCACATAGAGCTTTATTTTTATTAGCTTGGCAGCAGTTGCAGCTGTCACCAGGACAGATCAGATGGGGCAGGAGTGAGTGGGGGTAGAGGATAGGGGGATATGTTGCTTCTTTTGGGAAGCACTTTGCAGGGGTATACACATACTCCCTGCTGCGGTTCTGTGTGGGACTGGCTCATGGCTTCAGGTTGCTGCAGTTGTTACTTTGTACCCTTGAATGTGAAGCCAGGCTTGCTGCATGCACATCTTGTTTCCAGTTGTATAATTACTGGCTATCCTATAGGACTGTTCACCCCATTGCTCTTTGCTGCTGCTTTAAGCTCTGTCTGGGTGCACAGTTCTGCAGATGTTACTTACAGTTGGTCTTGTGTCTGTAGTTCTATATGGTTATGTTTTTATGTGCCTCATCCCCACAGCTGCTTAGATACTGTCAAAGAACTGCCAGCTGTCTTCGTGCGAGGAGACCCACATCCATGTTGACATGAGGAGGGTGCGGAGTGCTCCAGTCTCCTCACAAAAGAGCCAGTGCAGAATGTAGCTACAGATGCATTCTGGGCCTCTAGAAGCTTCAAGGTAGCCCCATGCTCACACAATAAAAGCAGTTTGTTCTCATTGCTCTGCAGTTCAAACTCAAAGGTAGATAACAATCGTTATAATTGAGTGTGTAATAATACATTTTAATTAGCCGGCATCACACACTTCAAAGCCTTTAATAAAACATACAGGACTTTAAATGACAGCATTTGAAGTTTTGAAATTACTTAAGAACCAGGGAAGTCAAATCAACCACATCAGTCAATGACAAGTAAATTTACCTTGGCCCAGAGGTTGTAGCTGGTGAACTCTGGCACTCAACTTGCACAGGGCCTTTCACCTCCTCTGTTCCTTTGGAGGTGTTGCTCGTGATGAATGGCCATGCAGCCAGTGATGAAAACATCATCCCGTGTGGATTTTCATCACTGAGATTATATCAGTTCTAGGCAGTCATTAAAAGCCACTGAAGAGCATTATCTGTTCTTAGGGCAGGAATTGCAGCATGTCTTGACAGCAGAAACCTTTACTGTAGGATTCATTTGCAGTTAATGTGACCCCGTCGGGTTTCTGGGTTCTTCAGAAGTTAGGACATGCTCCTCACTGATAAGTGCACAGTACCAAGAGTAACAAGGTAGCTGTTGTGTGGAGGTTGCATGTTCACCAGGGAAAGCCAAGATGGAGAGAAGAATTTAACTTGGACAAGGGAAGTTGATTTATGCATGAATTTCTGTCTTCAAGCGTGCATTGAATCACCTCCTCTGACTTACTTGTAGGTCTCTTACAGACCCTCAGTCTTATATTTTAGATTTCTTCTTTTCTGGACTGTCAGGAGGAGAGGAGGTTGTTTTACAGCAAGTGCTGAACCACATGTAAGAGTCAATTAATGCATATTTTTGGAAGGGATTGGGGTGTTGATAGTGTTCTAACCATCCTGCAGTTAAATCTACAATGGCAAATCTAGACTGGCATAAAAACTGACAAACCACTGGCAAGAAGGACCAACAAAGTCTCATGTGCTTGGTGCTCAAACTGTAGTAATCTGGGACGTAGTTTGTGCACAGCCCACCCCTGCCTTTTGTTGCTGGGAAGAGCAGGCCCATTCCCATTGCAGTGGAGTGGAGGGATGCAGCCTGCCTGGGGTATGTTTGTGGAGTGAAGGGATGCAGCCTGCCCGGGGTGTGTTTGTTCCTTCACCCTAAGCCCGGTCATCAGCCCACAGTAACCTCTCTGGAGCTGTTGCAGCAGCTCCCATGCAGATGCATTGCTCTGTGTGCTGGGTGCTCCCTTCTGTTGTGCTGCCAGTGTGGCAGCTCTGCATGAGGTGAAGAAAGCTCCGTGTGAGACCTTGCAGGAGTCACCTGTATGCTGGAATTTGGTAGTCACAGACTTTGGGAAGGTGCAAGGCCCATCTGTAAATTCCATAAACTATTTCCTTGGCATTTGTTCAGTCCTTCGTCACTAATAGTCAGCTGTGTCTGTGGGTTCCCCATAGGAGTCAGTTGGGACTTTATCCTTTAAAAAAGAACAGAAGTATTAGCGTGGTAATGATTTGTGCTAATACTCGATTGATTCTCACTGCATATTCACTTGGGGTTTTACATTGTAAATTCCCATGAAGATGCAGATTCTCTTTTGAGAATGCCAGTGAGGCTTTAGGTTAGGGTTCCTGAAGGCCTGATGGTATCTGTCAGGGTTAGGATAGCCATTACTTAAAGCAGCCTAACAACACTTGTGATGGTGGGAACATAACTGTGCTTGCATCTGGAGTTCTCCTAGCAGGGGAAAGGCCACATGAGCAGCTCAGCTCTAGGCTGGGGAATGTGAGCTGGGAGTTGAGGCTTCTCTTTCCAACC